TGCCTTTCAGCCTTTCGCGGTGGCACTGCTTCTCGTGCAAGGAGTGATGTCGATGGTCTCAATGCAGTTTATTGATTGTGTGGGGTGCTATTTCTGTCTTTATAAATCCCGAGGCTCGTAACTAATGTCGACTTATTCAGGAGTCGGCGTTCCAATCAAACTGCGGCCCACTGAGGATCACTAAATCTCGAAGGCGGTTCGCTGAATTTGTGAGTTGTTATAGTTACCTAGGCAATGTAGTTCGCTGATCTGTGCCCATCAAGGTCGACCTCGAGAAGACACTACAAATGACCCTCCGCGTTTTTTGGTCCAGGAAAGATTGCCCTGACCTGTACGATACGCCGACACCGTAGTTAACACGAGCCAAATGGCATATCGGGGTACGCCGATCTCTCTCGTTCGGTTCAATGATACGCATTCTAATCGACGACACATCTCAAGATATCCACCAATCCTCAATTCCATTCACTATTATATGGTACATTCATTATTATCTGTAAGGCTTTCATTTACTGACCAACACATGTCAGTTTTCCGCCTTGGTTAACGCAAACTGTACAATAACACCATGGTCAGCAACATGCACGTCTCATTGATGTACAGAAGTGCTTACCTCCGGTCACCACAGGAGAGCTATCGGACGGACCGCTGTAGAATTTACAGCTGCTGCCGGCGGAGTGGTCGCCGTTGTTGGGTGGATTGCACGCAGCGACTGAAAGAAAGTTCATGAGTCCACGGTACACGATATTCAGATATCCGTAGATGCTGACCTGGGTCGGTGGCAATCAAGACGGCGCCGAATGCCTGACCTGCGAAGAGGACAGCAACGACGGGGATGAGAGCTGTGAGCTTGTTGAACATGCTGAGTGTTTGTAGAAGGTGAGATTCAGTTGAGAGCTGTTATAGATTATGGTGCTGAAAGCGTTTGAAGTACAGGGCTTTTATAGCTTCGAGTGTACGCCTCTTTGCCTCGCTACAATAAAGGCCAAGTTTGGGATTTTGGAGCTCGGGAGTGGGGCAGGTACGTTCTGCACCGAATTACTTTGCTATAGCTTCTCAGCGTTGTCATTTAGCCGCTACTGAGATACAACGTCCACGTACATCTGACGAAGACTCCATGGAGTATCTTTGTTCGATGTTTCAGGGCATATTTCAACAAAGGTGGAGTTCGGGACGAGGCGAGTAGGCAACTTTGGCATTGAGCTGCAGGATTATGCTAACCAATAGTATCAATCTTGATATTAGGTATATCCAGGTGTTGAGCAATGAACGCGTCAGGGATTGATAATGTAGTAAAGCGGCAAGCCTTACTCGTCTTACTCGTCATTACTCATTTACAATACGGTGATCCACGAAATACGATATTTCGTCTCCAGGCAGCGGCGCGCTTGCGTTTCACCTCTCCAAAAAGGATATGTGTGTTCTATTTCCGAGTGCCTTTCAGCCTTTAATATTAATGGTGGCACTGCTTTCCGGGAACGAAGTGATGACAATCCTGATGCCACCTGGAGCATCATCCTGTTACCAATGCACTGTATCTGTGTGTTCTATTTCTATCTCTCGTGATCTCGAAACTCGGAGCTGATGTTGACTTCCTCAGGAACTGGAGTCGGCGTTCTAGTTAAATTGCACCCCACTGAGGATCATTACACACAAGGTGACTGTCGGATTTGTGAGTCATAGTTAGCTGGGCAATATATCTTGCTGATCTGTACACAATAGAGAAGACGCCGGTAGTGCGTCATGTTACTTCGATTGGGTCTCACGTATCCAATTCAGTACCCACGAGTACCGTGTTTCTCATTCCAGAGAAAATTGTTCGAACGGCTCATCAATGATCAATTGGCACGTACGTTGACCCCTACTTGTACTCAATGGTACGCATCGACTAATTGGCAATATAGTTCAAGATATCTATACATTCTCGAATTTCATTCACTATTATATGTTACATTCATTGTTCCTCTTTCAAGCCTTTACTGGCCGACGCAGGTCAAAGTGCCACCCTGATCGATGCAAACTGCGCAATGTCGCTGTGGTCAGCCTAGGATCCTTGACATTTACGGCAAGACACGAACCTCCGCTAATAACATGAGAGCTATCAGACGGGCCGCTATAGTACTTGCAGCTGCTTCCGCCATGGTGGTCGCCATTGTTGGGCGGGTTGCAAGCCGCAACTGTAGAACTGTGAGCTCTATTTCACAAGACGAGAAAAGAGATACTGACCAGGATCGGTAGCAATCAAGACAGCGCCGAATGCTTGACCTGCAAAGAGGACAGCGACGACGGAGAGAAGAGCGGTGGCTTTGTTGAACATCTTGTGTTTGCGTGAGGTGAGTTTTCAGGTGTTGTTGATATCGAGTGTGAAGTTCACGCGTCGCTTTTATACATTTCAGCGTCTCCCCTGGCTCAAGTCGGTTGAATAACAAGGTTACTCAGGTGGTACTTTATGACGAGCGTGTTCCCAAATTGCATACTGTGGAGTCCTGGATACAAGTAGAGTCCTGGAGTGGTGTTTGAAAGTGGGGTCAGGGATGATACAAACACCCGTTCTGACGATAAATTGCTCTGCTGTGCCTCTCGCGATCAAGTCCACTTGTTCGAGTGTCGAGTGTAACGGGACTGTGGAGCCTTTCGATGTAATCGCAATATCGGAACACGATACAATATTGATGGCTCTTGGATTACACAGTATCGTTTCCCCCTCACCAAGTTTCATCGATGATTTACATTATGTGGCTGCTCCCGCTGTCACCTGGCGTCTCTTTCAAAATTGTAAACCTTCCCTGGTTCTGGAGCATTGCATCAGGTAATACAGATGGAGTAATGGTGAGCTCTATCTTGACTCTCAGTGGATTCAGATGTTGATGTGGCAATCGAGTTAGGTGAATAGCAGTCTCAACCGAGATGACTGGCGGCTCCATATTCGTCTCCTCACTGGCTTCTATCAGGACGCATGAGGCCACCGAAACAGTACTGTAATCATAGCCCTTTGGTATACAACGCAGTCTGCAGTGACTGTAATGCTCGTACGGTAACAGGACTAACTCAATCAACCACAGGAAGCAGACTACCCCTGAGTTTGGTATCGTGGCGCTCATGGACAATTCAAAGTTATATTCTTGGATTATTCCACTACAACACAAGCTATATTCTTTTGATCTAGTCACCCTTACTGTCGGATGCAGGTCAAAGTACCGCCCACGTCGGTACATTCTGTATGAAAGAGTGGTCAGCCTCAGTTCAAAGCAGTCTACTCAGAAAGATACTAACCTCCGCTAACCACAGGAGAGCTGTCAGATGGGCCGCTATAGTACTTGCAGCTACTGCCAACAGTGTGGTCACCGTTGTTGGGCGGATTGCAGGCAGATACTAGGAACGCAAGTCAGGAGGAATGCGGACAACAGCCTGGTGAACGCTGACCTGGGTCAGTGGCGGTCAAAGTGGCGCCGAATGCTTGTCCCGCAAAGAGGATAGCGATAGCAGCTACGAGAGAAGTGACTTTGGGGTACATGTTGAAGCTTTCAGAGATAAGGTACGAGTTGTTGTTTAATGTTGGTGTTAAGGCTCAAGCCCGAGTTCTTTATACTGTTCAGCTGAGCAAGTTGGTCAATTTGCTGTAATCGTCTTTTCCGACGCCAAAAAAATTGCCCGCTTCGGGGGTGCGGAGTCTCGAGTTTCCATGTTCACTTATTCACATCGCTAATGCCACTCCCATTTTAGCCGTCCTTTTTGGGGTGTGTTTTGAAATTCTATCGCATGGAGCTCGGAACGACGCGAAAGAACTAGCTCCAAATACCTTTATTGCGCGTCCCTTAGATCAAGAGTACAAGCTATAGCAATGTGTTTCAGAAACATAGTGGGGCTCGGGATGAAGTGTATGTTCAGTACCAGAAAACTTTGATATATATTCTAACATTGTTCATTCTACGGTAGGTGTATTGTTACTCGCTTGCTCGACTACACCACTCCACAACGTAGTTCATTGCCTTCAAAATCAAATTGCCAGTAGTTCTTCCCGCTGTTGAACCTAATATTGATAACTTCGTTCATCATAGCACGCCTGCCTGCCGATGTGGCTATCGTGAGCGCTAGTTTCATCTTTGATAGAGCGGCGATATTCAACTCAGTTCTTCCCGAAGATATCTCAGTTTGGCCTCAATAGAGGCGCCGACGTTGTGGAGCCATCCATACTATGCCGGTCGCCCGCCGATGAATTGACTTGTGGATATCATTTGCTCAAACTCTCGACATCAAGCTCAAGTCTCAGGCTGAGATCCTCAACATCTGTAAGTAACCTATTTGGATCGGTCTCTCTGATGTTGCTCCACTGCATGCCTTGGAGACGCCGTCCGGGATAGCCTCCTGTACATTGCAGTTCATTGAGTTCTTGATTTTCAAAGGCCCCAATCACCACCATTGACACTCTGGCTTGCGAATTGTCTTCCCGATACTGCTCCACTTTCAGCATAGTGTCTCTTTCCCCGTTGCTTTTCCTGTCCATAACTCAGTGAATTTAGCCGAACTTTTCCATATAAAAGATGGGCATATTCTCTCTCAAACCCATAACACCAGCACTTTCTCAAAACAACATGCAGTTCAAACTCAACTCCATCTTATCCGTCGTCGCTGTCCTCTTCGCAGGTCAAGCTTTCGGCGCTGTCTTGATCGCTACCGACCCTGGTTCGTCGTTTCCGCAAACGAGATTTTGCCAGACACTAACCCTTTCCCATTAGTCGCTGCTTGCAACCCGCCAAACAACGGTGACCATCATGGCGGAAGTAGCTGCAAATTCTACAGTGGCCCAAGCGACTCTTCTCACGTTGTGTCTGGCAGTAAGTGTTTTTTTTTACTCATCTCATGAACAAGATGCTCATCCATGTTACTAGTTTGCATTGACCAAGGCGGCACTCTCACCTGCGTTGGCCAGTAAATACTGAAAGAAGTGTCTATTTAAGGATATAAAGCGTATTGAATGTACAAACTTTGGTTGAACACAAGGCGAGATGGCCGAGCGGTCTAAGGCGCCAGACTAAGGAGACCAACACTTCTGAAGTGTGAAAAATCTGGTCCGAAAGGGCGTGGGTTCGAATCCCACTCTCGTCATTGCCGATGCTTTTTCGTCAATGTTTTCGTGAATTGACACACCATTTTACACGTGTGTTATGTACGGAAGTATTCATACTCTTCCTCTACCTGTTTCAATCGTCCCTGCTTGGACCGTCACCGTCGGCTGTATGGCCTGTGGAGGTGCGCTCGGCAGTCCCTCACATTGTCTACCCAACTTGAGCAACCCATCGGCATCCAGCTCGTCCCTCTCCCCAGCGGGTACCACTCCAACATACGCATTGAAGCTATATATCCCACACGGACACTCGTTCTTGATCAACCTCAAACTCGTCGCACTCATTCCCTGCCTACCCACGACCTCAAAATGCTGCGGCCCAACTTTAAACGGAACCTGTATCGCTGATGCCCCAGCCGGTACATCAACTACATAAAGCGTTCCGCCCGAGTTGATCTGGACTGTTCCGGGTGTCTTGAGCAGAGCAACGACAAATACATTGTCTTGCATCGTATCGTACCCATTAGGCTTTCCGTGAAAAAAGTTGCCCGAGGCGTTGGAGGCTGGTGCGATAGTATTGTCGGTACCGTCGCAGTTGATGCTTTTGGGATGAACCCGATACCAATAGACGAGTTTTTCAGAGGTGATATGTGCTGGGATGAGTACAGGCGAGTTGGATTTGAAAGCGGCGATGAAAGGCTGGGAGAGAGCGAGCCAACCTGTGTGAGGCCTGTAGTCATTCTGAAGGTTAGTAACTGAAGGATGGAAGGTGAAGAGGCTATACTGACATTCCATAAGCCCACTTGCTCGCGCCGTCGTCCATGTGTTTCGACTTGAGAGGACCCAGGTAATGCGATTCACCATAGTCGTTCCAGGTGATCATCTCGACGAACGAGGGCTGTGGTTGCATGGAAAGGATGTCCACCCAACGGAGGTAGATGAGTAGGTCAGAGGGAAAGACCCAATTCTTGCTATACGGGACTTCGCCGCCGAAATGAGTGGCTAAAACAAGATAGTCATTACAGGGAAGGTATCATGATGCAGAGAGTTTACTCACAGAACCACGGTGCCAGAGCTAAAGGAAGAATCATGATGAGAGCAAGTAATGGGCAAAGTCAGGGAAACCACTTACGAGCAATATACCCTTTACCACCTAATACACCATGATACTGACGATCACCCTCGTCTACCGTCACGACACGTCCACCAGGACTCGGCGCTTTGTTGTTGCCATTGTTCCTCCACGCCATCCAGTTGAGCGCTCCATCGACAACTCCAAAATTGGCCTGGCCAGGATGGATATTCGGTGCGAAGTAGATCTCTCCGCCACCGTAAGCCCTAACCTGCGCCCGCAACGCGTTGACATCCAATCCATCTCCGGCGAAAGATGACACGAAGGCTTGGTTATCGACGCGTAGTTGAGATGGTTGGTGAGCATACTTTGCTATCTTCCTTGCGATATCGGATACCTGGGAGACGTGGTACCAGTTGAAGTCAAACGATATGAAGACCTTGAACGAGTTTTGGGAGGCAGCAGCATAGGCCAAGTCGATTTGTGTATCGGTGTAGGGGTCCAAACCGATGTTGAGTGCGAAGGCGTCGATGCCGAATGATTTGGCGAGCAAGATATCAGATGTGTAGTCGGCAGTCGAGTGTCGGTTGGAGGTGATACCAATCTGGACGTCGAGTAAGCTTGAAACATCCTAGAGGTACCTCTAAAAGCCAACGAACCATGAAGTGCGCAAAAACCAATTTGAGATTCGCATCGGCGACATCTTCCAAGGCCGTGCTTGGAAAACACAGACATGCGACGAATAACGTGAACACGAAGGTTATGACCGCCTGAGCGTGCATTTTGACGGTCTTGATTGTGGGTTGCATTCGGGGCTTCATGGGTCTGGGATTTTATTGCTTCCCAAATGACCCCACCGGGTCATTGCAATTTTTGACAGCTGATAGAATCCTTCGCTGCCAATCAGCAGACTATCCGCAACCTGCCCGAGTAAGCGATTCTATTGCTGATTTTGACCCTTCTACAGCCCGGTGAGAGTGAATGCGGCTCTTGAGGCCTTGATTTAGGATCTTTGAGGTAGAAAATGGTGGCTATTGAGCTTCTTCGGTCGCAAGGATGGTCAATATAGGTGGATGTTTCCAGGCAGGTGACGCACCACCAATGCACAACTAATTCAATGGCTGTCTGTATCCATTGCCAACGGCTTCCGATTCTTCGTTCTGCCCAGTAAGATTTTGCCGGAGAAGAGTTCACCGGATGCCCAGTGATCCAACTTTGCACAGAGGCGCGATTCTTCATTGATTCCGCTCAGGCTAGTACTAGAGTAAGCAAACGTCAACGGGAATACATAATGATATTGCCCAAAAACACCATTCACCTGATAATCAAGGTTCTTTATCAAACTTTATCATTTCGACCCCAGAGATTTCGACCTGACCAAAGAGAAAGCTGGAAAGCGACGCTCGTTTATAGGCGCTAATAGTGATACACGATTGATCTCACTACCAAAAACGGAGGTTCTGAATTTTCGCATTGGACGGTGAGACAGCTGGCGAGCACAGGCCAGTTGGGTTCAAGGAGCATGAGAGTCGATGAATGGTCGCAATATCTCGGTTCATGCCCAATGAGAGATTGAGTTCGAGGGCCGGACATAGTGGAGAAGATGGAAGAGGAAAACAAAACTAGGTTCCTCGGCGGTCGCCGACCCGGCAAATTCTGTGTGGAAACACGTGACACTGACGCGTCTCCCGTTTCTGATACCAGCACGATCTCAGCGACGCGTCATACAAATACAGTGACATTCATAGTGTTATAGTACATTCATAGGTAGCCCAAGCGCCATTGGTAGTGCATTATCAGAAACAGGAAGTACATAGAACGTTGTGTATAAAAACCATCATCAAAAAACAAGAATCGTCAATCAAAATCTTCGTCTAAATCAAGATCAACGTCAGAGTCGGAATCCAAATCAGTGATACCCCATCGAGTTCGACCTGCCATCCTTGACATCTCTATAGCAGCATCCGGAGACTCGGAGATGGGAGGGAAAGTAGTAAGGCCATTCATTTCCAAACCTAAACGGCCGATCTAAACCTGTTTCTTTGGGCCATTCCTCGACCAGTGCACGTATTTTCTCGAAGGTTACACCAGGCATACGGAGAGTGTTACCCCAAAATCGTTCGAGTCCAGCATAGCTGGGATCCTTCTCTGGGTTTGGTAGTTCCTAAAGTAGTACGAGGTAACGATCAACGGTCCGGACAAGCTATATAGAAATGGACACTCACCTGGAACGCCTCCGCAGGAAACACGCTCCGGTCACGTAGGAGTGTGACAACATTGTCGATAACCGCGCATTCCTATGTGATACGGATATTGGAAGTAAATCACTCCAAAAAGACTCGACGACCTACCACGTCCCTAACTGACTCATCATGTATCCCAGTAACACAGAAGATCCAACAAAGACGGCAAATAATCTCCCTACACCACATCATCATCATGTCCTTCCCGACAGGCTCCCTATAATCCTCGCGTACCTCGACATCCCTGCTTCTCAGCTCATCCATCTGATCACCGGTACCCCACATGTGCCGTGGAACCCTAGCTTGCACCTCCAAACTCTGCAACCTCGACATGCCACGCACAGCACCCAATATTCCATCAATCGGAGGCGGCAAGCCAACCCCAGATTTCGTGCATGGTGTACACCGTATCACCAATTTCTTGAGCCCAACGAGCCTCGCCACAAACTTCTCCACAACACATCCCGATACATCTCCTTCCAGGACCAACTCCTCCAAACGCGACACGTACTTGAGGAACTGGTCCAACACATAAACCTGGTACCGAAGGTTCTTGATAACCAATGCCTTGAGGGTACACCCCGAGCGAGCGAGCATCTCCAAGACAAGTGTCACATCTAACACCATCTTGCCATACTCTGGATCTTTCAAGACGATCTCTAGCCTCTCCAAGCCCGGCAGCGTCAAAATCTGGAGTACCCTGCTATGTTCGGTGGTACGGTGCACCACAAGCTTCAGCGTGCGCAAGCTATTCAGCCGAACACCCGACCCCCAGCTAGCGGTGGAATCGTACACTTCAAGGTCTCGTTCACCTAGAACGAGTTCCTGAAGGTTATCGCACTTGCGAAGGACTTGGTAGAGGTATTCCAACCGGTACTTTGAGAGGTGAAACACGGTGATATGCTCCCAGGGTACCACTGGCTGAATATCAATTTGGCGGTTGAATAGACACGCGAGGAAGCTCTGGGAGATTCTACGTCCCACGACGTCGCTCCTGCTACTAGTCGCGGTATCGACCAACCGAAGTTCTAGATGTTGTCGTCCAGCCGATCTGCGAGAGAGAATGTCGAATATCTCTGCGAAATGTTTCCAGAAGGGTGCTTCTGCAGAGTCTGGGAGTTTCTTTCGGTCCAAGACGAGAATGGACCATAGTTCGGGGGAGTTTTCGATGATGGTGCGCCAGCGGCTGCGTGTCGTGCAGTTAGTAAAATGGTTTCAGAGAAGGAAGCGTACTTACCGACATACTCTCCCAACCTTCCACGGCGCTTGGTTCCGAATAGCGCTTGGATGTATGTTGAGTCCAGTCGCCGGAGACGCGAGTCTAAATATGGATAGCAAGAGTTCGGGAGGTAGACGATGAACAGCTGGTTCATACTCCGGGTTGACGGTCTCTGGATTCATAGTAATGCTAGTGGTAGTAGAAGAAAAGCTGAGGAGGATTGAGTTGGATTGGGGGAAAGAGCACCCCAACACGCAGCCTTATATATGTCTCGGAGTCCTTTCAAGTCTTTGGGCGAAAGAAAAAAGCATCCTCAGGCTTACCTAATGGGGATTTCAAATTCTGACTTGTCGACGTCACGGCAAAATTCGAAAATCGTATCTCTTTCAAATCCTTTCTTCAAATTGTCTTCGAAAAGAACATATCAGTGCTGATGTGAATCATAAGAAGGATATATGTCAGGCCAGGAGCGATTTTAATTGGACACGGCCTCGTCTCGCGAGCCAG